GCTAGTAATAGAATTAACAATTAAGTGATCAGTGTTGACACATCACAGCATATAACAATGGAATGTGTCCTCTGCATTTAACCCATATGTGACATCATGACATAGCAGGGGGCAGCTAATTCAGCAGCCAGGGAGCAGTGCTTGGGGGCGGCACCTTGCTGGTCAGGGATTTGAACCTGCGACCTTTGAATTACAAGTATGCTTCCCAAACCATTAAACCACCACTGCCCCATATTGATCATATTGACAAGGTTGACTTTACAGCTTCAGAAGATGTTGTGTCAAGAGAGAAATGGGTTCAAGGCGAACAGTTTAAAGAAGACCCACGCATCAATGGGCATAGATTTTTGGTGGAGTTGTAACCCCCCCCCCCCCCCCAGTAATCAAAACTAGCCAATACTACCCCCTAGGCCCCCTTGGAGACCTCAATACCCCAAAAGTTATGCCCTTGCATTTGTCACTGATGAGCATGTCTGCTCCCTAGAGCATTCTGGGAGTTGTCGTCTGTTCACACTATCACGCAACACCCTTGTTTATTTCAGAACAAATTAGCCAATTTGCTGACATGCATAGTAAACAGTATTGAGGGCTGATGTTCCCACAAATAGCCCCCTCAGTGTTTTTTTGACAGAAAGGTAGGTACAGAAACATTTGCAGGAGGTCATGTTAGCAGGAGTTGAATTAACGAATCACCCGATTGGTTAGCTGGGGCACATGACAAACTCTCCTCCCAAGAATTGTATAAATTCCAGTGGTGTTTCATGCAGCAGATCAGGATGAGAACATGCACACCAGCAGAGAGATCTAAGCTTCCAGAAGGGGATAAATTGCCTTTATGTTTTTTTTGCTGGGTAGCCTGTCTCTGGGGAGTCCGCTTGAAGGGGTTTAGAGAGTGATCACTGCCAGGCTTTGATGGTGTGGAGAATAACAATGAGCCATTCTGGCACAACAGAGTTCTCAGGGTACTCAGTCTCCGTGGTGCGTTTTGACTGTTGATCATCCTTCCATTCATTTTCTGTACCCGCTTGTCCTATTCATGGTGGGGGGGGGAGCCTATCCGAGAAGGTATGGGCACAAGGCAGGAAATGACCATGGCAGGGCACACACTATTCACACCTACCAACAATTTGGTGAGTCCAAATAAGCTCTGCTTTTTTTGGACTGTGGGGGGGGGGGGGAACCGGAGTACCTGGAAACCCCACAAAGACATGGGGAGATCATGCAAACTCACACATGGAGCCATGGCAGGGATTCAGAGCTGTGAGGCAACAGTGCTAAACACTGCACCACCATGCGGGGATGTCAGTTATGAGGACGTAAGGAGCAGGCACTGATTACAGT